GGAAACTCAAAGTTGTTCTTTGAGTAAAAAAAAAAAAAAAAAAGAACTGTGGACTATGGAGAAATGGTAGTCATCATCTAAAAATTCACTTAAAATTACATACACTGACAAGCCTGGCTCAGTGGTTGAGCATCAACCTAAGAACTAGGAGGTCAGGGTTCAATTCCCAGTCAGGGCACTTGCCCACTTGCCCTACTGGCTCAATCCCCAGTAGGGGGTATGCAGGATGCAGCTGATCAAAGATTATCTCTCATCGTTGATGTTTTTATCTCTCTCTCCCTCTCCCTTCCTCTCTGAAATTAATAAAAATCTATATTAAAAAATAAAATTATCTACTATATTATTTTTTATCCTAAATAATTTTATTTACACAAGTAATACCAAATTTATGGTCTCTTTTTTCAAAAATTAAAGCATTATTGATCATGCAGATAAATTTTCAATCTACCTCTATCTTAGTCCCTTCAAACAAGTTAACAACAGGAAGACAAACAATCCAATAAAAAAAGGGCAAAGGACCTAAATAGACACTTCTCCTAAGTAGACATACAGATGGCTAAGAGACATATGCAAAAATGTTCAAGGTCACTCACTAATCAACAGAGAGATGCAAATGAAAATGACAATGAGGTACCACCTCACATCTGTCAGAATGGCTACCATCAACAAATCAACAAATGACAAGTGCTGGCAAGGATGTGGAGAAGAGGGAAACCTTGTACACTGCTGGTAAGAATGCAGACTGGTACAGCCACTGTGGAAAACAGTATGGGGTTTCCTCAAAAAATTAACAATGGAACTTCCATTTGACCCAATGATCCCACTTCTAGGAATATATCCTAAGAAACCAGAAACACCAATCAGAAAGGATATATGCACCCCTATGTTCATAGCAATGCAATTTACAACAGCTAAGTTCTGGAAACAACCCAAGTGCCCATCAGTAGATGAGTGGATGAAAAAGCTGTGGTACATTTACACCATGGAATACTATGCAGCAGTAAAAAAGAAGGATCTCTTACTCTTTGAGACATCATGGAGGGATCTGGAGAGTATTATGCTAAGTGAAATAAGTCAGTCAAAGATAAGTATTACATGATTCACTCATATGTGGAATCTAATGAACAAAATAAACTGATGAACAAAATAGATCCAGAGACATAGAAGTATGGGAAAGACTGATGAATCTCAGAAGGAAGAGGGGGGTGTGGAGAGTGATTAAGCGGGAACTTATATGCATATATGCATAGCCCATGGACACAAACAATGGTGTGGGGAAGGTGTGGAAGGGGTGGCTATGGGTAAAAGGGGTGGGAGGGGAGGGACATCTGCAACTTTCAACAAAAAGATGAGAAAACAACTGTATTCTATTACTGTGAGCACTTTTATATGTTTTCTTATTTAATTACCAGTGGGTTATCAAATTTTCCAGGATGTAACTTCTAACATTTTCAGTAATCCTGAATTCATGTCTGTTCTCAGGAGTGGGAGAGTGTACTGTTGAGGAGACATCACAACACAACTCTGTCTACACAGGAAGAAGAAAGCTTTTTCCTACATGTTCACCCCGGAGCCTCCTGCCAAGCCTCTGGGCCCCTGGACCCTTCCTTAAAGCTCACCCCAGTCCTTTAGTTCTGCACACCCCAGGATCTACCAGCTGACTTCTGACCATCGCACAATCTCACTATCCTTCAGTAATCCTAGATGATTCATCACTGCACTGTGGACCCCGGTAATGACTCTATCCAAAAATCACCACAATTCCTGAAATAAATGGGGAATCATTGGAATGAGTCAGGAGATACAGGAAGAGCCCCTGGAAGAGTGTTTCCATGGCATCCTCGCTGGCTCTGCCCTCCTACCCTCCACACCCAGTTGGCTACTTCCCATTGAAGCAATCCAGGAGCCAGAGATGGAAGGATATTGTGTGTTTTTTAAGTTGGGTAGAGAGGAAAGTCAAAGAGACTTTCTTTGACTTTATTAAGATATTAAGAATCAGAAACAACTTTTGCGATGAGGGCTGATACAAATTAGTGTCCTGGACAGGGGAACCAACCCATGCAGAGTGAGACACAAAGCACCATTGACAAAAATGACACACATTATGGAGACGAATCAAGCATTGTGGCTGGATGCTACTAAATAAGCGTGTCATCTACGCCTCAATTGGATTCCACATGCACCATCAACCTTCTGATTATAATGTGTGTTTGCTCATAAGGAAAACTGAGCCTTGTGATTCTGAGAATTCTTAATGTTTATAGGTGTGTACATGTATGTGTATGTGTATATGTGAATATATGTATAAGCATATAGTCAGTCTCATTAGCTTGGTTAATGTGATTCATCCCTGTGGTGGGAGTATTCTCAGTGTGCTGACATCATGAGACTATAAGGTTAGGGTCCAGATTGAGACTCTAGTAAATTAATAAAATTAATAAAACCACCTGGCATCCCCACAGCTATTTCTGCTTTGACATATTTTATGACTGCCATCAGAAATAACTATAACCCCCATGGGGAGGCCTAGACCCAATTAAATAAACTTAAGAAAGAGTGACATCATATAGATAATTAGTTTTGCATATCAGGGGACACTTGTTCTCTTAATAATCTCTACCAAAACTCCTTTGCTTTTAAAGAACATCTGATCAAATTAATGAAATGAATAACTACAATGGTTGAGATCTTATAGGAAGTGAATAAATTCATCAATACATATTGGTTGACAATTTGTCTTCAAACTAATCCTATGAGGTGGTTGATATTACCCTGACTTTAAAAATAAAAACACTGAGGCATAGAATGTTAAGGATTAGGTGCAAATTTTATAGCAAGCAAGAAACAAAAGAGGCAGGACAGGAAGCCAGAACTGGTTCCAAGCCTCACAGCCAGGCTGGTGTCAGGTCTCCAGGTGACCAACACACAGCCCCTCCCCTCCAGTGTGCGGGGCCACTCAGGTGCCCCAGTGATGTCATCCATGCCTTATGAATTCATGAAGTTGACTTTAGGATCTTCCCTGTCAGTTTCCCCAATCCCTACTTCAAGCCTACCTACCACCAAGAGAAAATTAAGCCAACTTAAACCGAACCTGCCTGACTCCCTATTCCCTAAATGCTGTCTCAATTATCATCCATCCCTGGCCCCTCCCTGTTTCATTAACCAATTGGCTTCCTCAATACTGCCTCTTTATGGAATGCACTGCGGATTATTGTGCCATGAGGCAATGGCCTGGGCCTGTAGACCATCAACTTCCACTGCCATGGAGGTTTTACAAACCTCCTCCTGACAGTCCCCCTCTTGTCTCATAGGCCCAGTGTCTGCTTCCGTATATGAGAGTGAAAATCAAGCCTAGGCCAATCCTTAATGCATCCTTAATTTCACGAACCCATTCGTCATGTTCCCTCCTGATTCAGTTGTTCCTGGTAATGAAATTTCCTTCTCTAGATGAAATGAAGCACCTCTAAAGTAACAAGGAGTGAAAAACATTACCCTGGGATCCACGTGGCTGCTCTCAACCTAGGGAGCTGGCTGAGCTGCGCCCTTCATGGGCATCTCCAGGAGAGCCAGAAAGGTAGGCTGCGTTGCTTATGTTGATAGACTATGTGAATTGAGCCTCCCTTCTTTGTGAAACCACAATTTTAAATCCTTGACATTATTCCCAGGACCACCGATTCCAGCGTTAAAATATAACTGGTAAAAGCCACCATACCATACACAGCTATCTTTAGGCCCTGGTTACACTCAAAATGACCAGTTAAGGAAATGCATAATTCCATTTACAACTCTAGCATGAATAAAATCATCTGAATCTCTAGACCTCTTTGGAATACATCAAAATAATTTGAGTGCCACATATAAAATAGCCATGATTTCTGTAAATGATATAATATTAGCAAAACATAATTAAAGCCACAATCTCCTAGTGATCTTATGAAAATACTCCTAATGTTTAAGGTAAATATACATGGTACAGGTAATATCTGACTTATTTAACATAAATTATACTATCATAGTGAAAGTCATCATTAATTTTATATTATTTTTAAAATTTTAGTGCTTGAACTGAGCATCCAAGCCCCGTTCTGATATAACATAGAACAGAATCTGCAACAAAGTTTACATATATTCTAATTTCATCTATTGTCTGTTATAATCTAGGTAAAATAATATGTATTAACTGAAAAAATAATGCAATTATATTTAAATAATGTGTTTCATGTAATTTGATCTATTTTTCTATTAAAAGAAATACCTTCTGTTCATCAAATCTCAAGTTGCTTCAGCCTGATGTTCTTGAAGTTTAAAAATGTGATTACCAGTTTTTTCTTGTACTAAATGATAACTCATCATAAAGTGAGCCAGTCAACATCACAGAGCCTTTTTAACATTAGCAGGTTAAAAGGAGAATTGACATAAAATTCACAATTACATAATTACAGATAATGACTGCCAGGCCTTGTAAATGAACATTTGGCTGCCCTGGATCTCAGTTTTCCTTTCATCCCAACACTTAGGGATTTGCATTTCTATAAAGAGATTAGACTGCTTTATACTAAGATCCATTTGCTTTAAAAATTATAGTTTTCAGAACAAATGAATTTTTATTCAAATTCTCCAGTGATCGTTTTGATGGATACATTTTACAATACTACAATTGCCTTTTCGAGTTTATTGGGATTTAATGTGTAATTAGTTTCCTTATTACAGATTATCTCTGAAATTACACATTTCAGCATAATGGAAGTCCATTTAATAAAATGTTGCTGATGTCCATCCAGACCCCTGAATCACACTGCACTCTTTCTGACGTAGGCTTAAGGAACACTTATTTTCCTTTCAGAATTTATAAAATGAAAAGAGAGAACATTATAGGTTTGATTTTAAATAGAACTGCAAAATTCCTTGAAAAATTATAAAGTTATCTTACAAAAGTTCTTGTACTAGGAAGATATTTAACTAAGAAAGAAAAAGATATAAGGAAAAAAGATTTTACTTACCAGGTGTGAAATTGTATCGAGCTGAAAATCCCATAGATTCCAGCTCGCCATCAGCAAAAAATTTAATCCACAGAAATCTTCCACTGGATTTTATTGTAGGTGGATTTTGTTTTCCACAAAAACGTCCAATTATTGGAGAAAACCCAAAAGGTCCATCTCGAACTTCAATATGATCAAATTTGCACTCCCAAGATGGTTCAATAGAGTACTTTTCATCAAAATAAAGTTCAATGCACTGTCTTGGGGCCGCTGAAAAATAGAAAAATTATATCTAGAAGGCCCCTCTGAAACCTTTAATTTGATTTTTCTGATTCTACTTCAGATTTTGTCTGCACATCTATCAAACTTTGAGCATGAGACACTTGGAAAGACAAAGCCAGCATGCTATCCTTAGCTTTGAAAGTAACAGTTCCATAAAGAAGTCTAAGAGATTATCCTTAGACATCACACAAAATATTATACTGATATCAAATGACCATTTTGATGTCCAACACAGAAGTAAAAAATATCATAGTATTTTTGTGAAAGGCTGCTAACTCAGATTTAGAAAGAATGATTTCTGTCACGTTTTCCATATTTTCTGCACTACCCAGTTTTAAGGTCAGATGCCACTTGAGGCGGTGTGGCACAGAGTTATACAACAATTCAAATAGTTCCAATCGGATGGCCCTGATAATATCCACATGAGTGCACAAGGCAATGAAGAACAATCTTTCTTTGAATACAGATCTTACCTTATCACTCAGGTTCAAACTTACTCAGTAACCTTCTTAACATTTCCAGTAAACTGATCAAAACAAGACATAGGATCCTTAAGGTTACTCTCCAGCCCACACTTCTAGTGTCTCCTTACTTTGTGTGCAACCCAAGCTCAGTTCTCTTCAGCCAAGCCTTTTTTTTTTTTTTGAGAGAGATAACACACTCTGTGGGCTTTAATGTATTTTCCCACTTTCTTGAGTATTTAAATACCTCCAATTTGTTAACTCCCGTTTATACAGGCAAATCTCGTTTAAAGGAAATCTCTCTAAACCTACTCACTAAAGACAAGACCATATCTATTGACCTTTTTCCAGCACAGTGCTCCACACAGTGCTTGTCAGTGAGGGCTTCTCAAAAAAAAATCTTTGTTGGTGATTTGTACATGAGCTTCTAATCTTCATAAATGTGTTTACAGCTCTCTAAGGCATAGTGAACAGGCTTCTAGGGCAGCTCGAGAAAGCTCCGAGTGGGGGCATTTACTAGTTCCCTTTTATTCTTCCCTTGTGACGTCCACACAGTTCCAAATGCAGGCATTCTCGACTGATACTCAGCCAAGATACCCCAGAACAGCCAGAACAGTTGTTGAAATAGCCACACACATCTTTCTTAGTTTGTAAACAGCTGTTGACGTGAGTCCTCTGAGTGCTTCTCAGCCACTTGGCCCTCTTCAGGGACCAAGCCCCTCCAGACACTCGAAAGTTAACTCCTGGCTCAGCCAGGCCTGCTCCTCACGTGACCAGAAATCATTCTGAATGACTGCTGTTCACACCACACTGGTTCTTAGATATGTATTGAATATCACCCTTGATGGCTTAAAAATTAAAGCTTTGCATGCATGGATGTAAAAAATTTATGTAGACTTGAGATACATGATGAATTGGAAATTAGAGACTTATAAAATAAAAACGTAATCTTGATGCTTTCCAAAGATAAAATTGAAGCTTAATTGGAGAAAGGTCAATGCATGTTAAAAGACTATTTTGTGGATGATTTTTAACCTCTAAAATTGTTTCTGAGTCTTTGGACATTTACAAGTAAAATAAAAAATAGTTCTCTCTACTACTAATGTGTATCACATAGGTCAACAAATATAGTATCTACCAAAACAGATTTGAGGAAATATCAATGCTTTTTTTAAATCTGCAAATTGGAAAATATTATAAGGAATTACCTGGAAAACCACGTTTCCCCCCCTGAAGTCTAATAACAAAAAAAGCAAATGCTTAAGAAAAGACCTATTCATGTAGTAGCATCAAAGTGCCAATAGAACGTATCTGTTTATCTCTTCCTTGATAATCCAGTATCAGTTTTATGAGGAAACAAGCTGTCAGAATAAAGGATATTTCTTTTAGAAATAAATAACATGTTTAGGGAAAGGGGAAGCTAATTTAGCTAAAACTCTTATCAATCAACATAAATCCATGTATTGTCCCTATTAGGAAATACATGGTCATCTAACATGAATGCATTTCTTTGTACCTTCATTTTCATTGTTGCTTAATTTCTGTCCAACATGGATGAATCAACCTCTCAATGTTCCTTCAGGAAACATGCTATCATGCAGCATTGGGTAGACCACATCATATATGGACAACTCATTTTCTTTGGTCCAGAATGTTGAAGTTAACTACACACACACACACACATCTGAAATTCCACTAATTGAATTTTAGAAAGTAGTAGCATAACTTTAAAAAAATAAGTGTGTCATATAGTTTTGTGGCAGATGAAAATTTTAACAATTATAGTGCATGTAAAGCATGTGGAACTCTCTAGATCCAACTCCATAAACTTCCATTTCCATTTTCTTTTCTTTCAAATCTCTCAAGTCACAGCTGTCTTTCATAGTCAAACCCCCTATAAGCCATTTTTGATCTGAAATAGCTTCCTTTTCAAGAGGTCTTAACCTCTTTGGACATGTTGAGAACTATGATAAATACTACACATTCATATAGACTATGGCCTCCAATTTGAGGGAGTTTTAGGACATTCTGAAATCCATAAAAAGGATTCCGTGATTGAGACTCCACCTGCATTGATTACAACTTATCTTTTTAAAAAATATATTTGATTGATTTCAGAGAGGACGGGAGAGGGAGAGGGAGATAGAAATAGAGACATCAGTGATGAGAGGGAATCATTGATCTGCTGCCTCGCGAACACCCCACACTGGGGATCAAGCCTGCAACCCAGGCTGGTGCTCAGATCTGGAATCAAACCATGACCTCCTGGTTCATAGGTCAACACTCAACCACTGAGCCAAGCTGGCTGGGCACAGCTTATCTTCTACCATTTGCAACAGCATGGATAGAACTGGAGAGCATTATGCTAAGTGAAATAAGCCAGTCAGAGAAAGATAAATATCACATGATCTCACTCCTTTGTGGAATATAATGAACAACGTAAACTGATGAATAAAAACAGATCCAGAGACAGAGAAGCATCTATCAGACCGTTAAACCTCAGAGGGAAGATAGGGGAGTGTGGGGGGAAGGAGGAGAGATCAGCCAAAGGACTTGTATGCATGCATATAAGCCTAACCAATGGACGCAGACACCAGGGGGGTGAGGGCATGAGTGGGGAGATGAGTGGGGGAAGCAATGGGGGGATAAGGACACATATGTAATACCTTAATCAATAAAGAAAAATAAAATAAAATAAAGAAACTTGACCAATTCTTTATCCCTCTTTGTCTTGTATTTTTAATTTACCTCTTCCTACAGAACAGGAATCCTTTACAGAATTACCAGTAAAGATGACAATTTCCCCCATTAAAAGAAGAGAAGACAAAGGAAAAAAGAAACTTAATTTCCATGGTGGGGACATCAATACCCTCAAGGCTCCATTCACTGGGAGCTGGCTCCACCCCCCACTGTGTCCATGAGAATACACACCCTGCAATGACTAACAGATTCTAAACTACCTCACACAGTAGGAGCATTTGCTTTGAACTGATTCCCCCCCCCCCCCCCCCCCCCCCCCCCCGTGATATAGCAGCTGGTTTTTTGACTGTCCCCTGTTTCTTGAAACTTAGTCCACTCAGCTGCTGTGACCTTATACCTGAATTCCAGCCCATCCCTCTGACTTCTCTTTTTCTTTACTCTGCCCATCTCTTTCGCATTGTTCTATGAAATTCTGTGTCTTCTTTCCTCTCCCTGGAGACCAGTGCTCTAGGTGCCACTGTCATCCCAACAGAGAGCTATTGTAATATAATGATGCCTGCAGCTTTATCTAAAACCAATTAAATCAAAACTTCTGGGGACAGACCTAGGCATCTATATTTTTTTAAAGAGTTGAAAAACAGTGTTCCAAGTACTCTCTTGATGATTTGATTCAGTATCTTCAGCAGCAATCTCTATATCCTCAACAACAATTTCTACATTCATGACCTATAAATATATATTTTCAGCCCAGAACCCTCCACTCAAAGATCCATATATCCAATCTCTTATGAGACATCTTCATAAACACCAAAATTGACCACATTATTTTTCCTTTAAACACACTCTCTCGCTGAAACCGGTTTGGCTCAGTGGATAGAGCATTGGCCTGCGAACTGAAAGGTCCCAGGTTCGATTCTGGTCAAGGGCATGTACCTGGGTTGCGGGCACATCCCCAGTAGGAGATGTGCAGGAGGCAGCTGATCGATGTTTCTCTCTCATCGATGTTTCTAACTCTCTATCTCTCTCCTTTCCTCTCTGTAAAAAATCAATAAAATATATTTAAACACACACACACACACACACACACACACACACACACACTCTCTCTCTCTCTCTTTACCTATAGTCCTTGTCTGGTACAACAATTACATCTAAGAAGTCACCAAGTCAAAAACTTGAGGATGGCTTCTGCAGTGGGTGAGGATAGGAAGCAGCCGATAACACTACATGTGGGTCCTGAGCACACCTTACCTCAACTTCATTCCATAGAGAGAATGATCGTCTCCTACGTGTTCTTCAAAAAGGAGCCTGAAGATCTCCTCCTCCCTGTAGCCTTCTCTTCCTTCCCTATTCCACACGCTGTGCTAGTTGGGAACTTTCCTGAAAGTAGCATAGCCCTAGAGCATATAATAACTTCCACAAGTCAAGGGTCATGCCTGTGTTGTTTGGCACCCTCTAAACTTTACCTAGAAGAACGATTGTTCCTTGGTAGTTGTTGCAGGAAAGATTTGTTAAATAAATGTATGAATAAAAATGACTAGTATGAAGTATTTCAAAAAGGCTATAGAAATATGACTAATAGTAACAGGAGATTCTTGTGACCAACTTTAAGATTTGTCCTTCCTGTCACTAGGAATGAATGCAAATATGTGCATGATATTAAAATCAAATGTTAGCAATGCTTTTTAATTCTAAATAATGATAAACATAAAAGCCCATTAACATGCAAGGATTTGCTTCTGAATTAATTATTTAAATGAGAAAACTAGTTAATTTTATTATTTTTAATAATTTGAAAGTTAAAATATTGTTGCTTCAAAACACAAATTACATGAATTTAAACCTCAGTTTACTTATCTGTAAAATAGGCACAACCAACATACCTACTTCCTAGAACTAAATGCTTTAATCTATTATGTGATTTTAAAGTTCCTAACATATATCTACATAACAGATATGTGACATTAACTTAACAAAAAGAACTAATTTTAACCCAGAATTTCCATATTTCAACCTCCTTTTCTATTAACCACAAGAGAAAGAAACCATGCCAGAACTCAGTGTTCTCAGCTTATTCTTTCTCCTTCTAATAGAGAGGCACATCTCTGCTAAAAGTTCAACCTCAAGTACAACAAGAAGAGAGAAAAGACGTGGCCCAAAAATTACAGAAAGAAAAAGACTCATTTCTAAAGTGAAATCAGTTAAATATAAAGACTTTTTCTTTAAAAGATAAATAAAATAAATGTGTCCCTTGTTTACTAGTATAAGTAAATACTGAGCATACATATATTTTCATTAAGCTCTGTTGTCTCTCTGTCTGTGTCGGGTTGGGAAAGAGGTTGCAAGTTTTGGGTTATTACTTACTAACACATATTAAAACCAATCACTAGACAAAATGTTCATCTATATTTCTAAAAATTATACTGAATATGAAGATATCTACTCGGGTAATGGTAATAAAATGCTCAAAGAGAATTAAATATCTTTTTCAGCACTATTTATGTTTCCAGCTGGGGAAAAAAATGATGAAAGGAGGCATCACAACTTGGAATCTTGACTTTGGTGTTAAAGTATGATAATGTTGCCTGTTAGTACAAACTAAGGCAACTGCTGTTCAGACTAATGTTTGGAAAATGTGATTAGAGATTTATTTCTGACATTCATGTTTTTTGTGTGTGTTTCATATTAGATAAGAGAAAAATAACACATGTACAGGTTTTTGTCATACTTGTTAAACTAATAAAATACTAGTTTCCCAAATTGTGATACATTAGGTAATATTAGGCCAACTTTGCATCCATTCTATTAATTTAGAATTCCAAATCAATTAAATCAAATGTCAATTAAGTTGTTGATGTGTTTGTGATTCTCAGAATTTACTTGTTCTTAACCCATTACTACCGATTTTAATAATTAGCTTAATTCCAGATTTTAGTTATTTGATCAACTGAGAGATATTCATGCGCAGGGGCTCCAAAGCCAATTTCTGTAATGTGTCCATGCACACTGTCCATATGCTCCTCACCTTCTATGATGTAGATGCATTCTCGGTCAGGGGGGTACTTGCTGGGGTAGTTGGGAGAAGTAAAGACACCTCCCTCTGCATGTTTTGTCCAAGTTCCACACTGCACTGACTTCTGTGTTTCTGAGGTGGCTTGCTTCTCTGTAAAAAAAAATTTTTTAAAAGAGCCGTCATCCAAATTTCTATAGAGCTAAAAATAGAAAACACATTCTTATAATATCCATTAGCAAATTAATTTCTAAATGTGGTCTTAGTGAAAACCAATCATTTATAAACACTAACAAATGGTCATATATCCTGGAATATTAAGAATATGGGGGAGATGGGGAAATGTAAATAATTAGAGGCCTCTCACCCACAATTTTCCAAAGAAACGTACCTGTTCCTTTTTTGGTTGCCCCAGACAAATGGAGGATGATTAAACTTGCTACAACTGAAACAGAAAAGGAAAATTAGAAAGAGATAATATTAATATACACCAAAATGATCGAGATCTGTACCAACACAACATAATTTAACAATAAAATATCAAATCAGATTAATTTTATTGTTGTTAACTATTCCAAGTTGACTCAGAACTTGCACACACTGATTCAATTGCACAAATCAGGAAAAGTTAGGAATCCCTTCAGGAAGTAAATGCCAGTTAAGAATGGATGAGACTCAAGCCCCTCAGGCAAATGCCTGCTCCAACACTCAGAGGCAGTATTATTAATAACCTACTAATGTCCCATTCCAGTAGGATATCAGACCCACACTGCTTCAAAGCTGTGCTTCATAAGGGGCTGTGGTAGGGCCTCTTCTACAGGGAGAGAGCTTGGCAGCAGGTGAAAGGGTGAGAAGCAATCCGACCCCAGGACTGATGCTAACACTGCCAATGCTATTGTATTTTAGAAATAAACACCTTCCTATGGTGGAAGGGGGAGGGGAACAGAGAAAAATAAATTAAGGTGGATTGGAAGCATTAAGCAAGACTATAAAAACGTTCCTTATAAAAAAGGTGCTGTACTACCAAGTAAGCCCATCCTCAGCATTCTCTAAGCTATAAAATTCATCTCTTCTAACATAATTTTGCTTTAATATTCAGGATTTTCTAGAGATAGATTATTAATTTCACAAAGGTGATTATTTATAAGCATATTGTTGAGTCAGTTTTTCAGTCTCAGAGACTCTGATCTGTCACTTAAAGACCCTTATAACCTGAACTTTCTGTTCACATCTATCATTCTTGATTCACTCACCATTTCAACAAAAGCTAAAACTAGAAATGTGTTAAACTAATCTAGTCTTCATCATTCCTGCTTTTTCCTCTCCTACTTTATTTTCATTTTGCTGCTCAATTAACTGAAAGCTCTAAGTTCCATTAGGGGTACAGCTCCCTAATGTTTCCACTTAACATGAGTTTGGGAAAGGGAGGATAGAATTCACAACGATTCCCTACGCCTAACTCACTACAGGAGCTTATAAATCTTATGCTTAAAGATTTCTCCAAGAAAAAAAGTGTCTGGGCCTTGATTTTAGTATTTGAGAATTGCATCAATTATATGACTGTACTGTAGCCGGCTCATCAATTCTAAAACATTAGTTGTTGTTGTTATCTTGTGTGTTTAAATAGAACAAACCTTATTTTAACTTGCCAGGGTTCTGTACACACACAAGCACACGGGTATACAGCCATCAATATCAAGACATATGTTTGGTGTTCTGTTTACTCGGTTTCTCCTGTTTTGATGGAGTCACATTGTGGAACAGGTACTATTGGTAACATAGCAGCCAAACCGGCCTTTCAACTGCGTGGCCTGGGATTAACTCTCTAATCCTTGCTTCATAATGTGAAATTTCCAGCACACGTTTCTCATCTTGCTACTCATTTGATGACTTCTGCTGCTATTTTCCTCCAATTTCTCTCCTATCATTGCGCGCAGATCACACACTCCTAAAACCACACACTCCTAAAACCACACACTCCTAAAACCACACTAGCGGTCCACCGGCCAGAGTTGAGGGTCCTCTGCCCTCCGCTCCACTGCTGCGTTCAGATGTGCCCTAAACTATGTACTGGGGGAATGTGGGCCCCCTGAGCTCCTGAAGCCCCAGAAGGAGGAATGTTCCCTCCCATCCCGCAAACTGTCTGCTCCTGCGCCTTCCCTGGGGCCCACTCCCCAGCCGCTGCCGCACGTGCGCATCCCCAAACTACTAGCCATCCGCACCCCTGGGTGATCCTGCGCACAGAAAGGCTGCTTTCCCTGGCGGACGCTGATAGCCGGCTACCACTGATTGCGCTGCCCCCACGCCCCGTGGTATTCTGCTGCAATACAGAAAGTTTACACCTGCCCCACACTCGCGGGGACTGCGGGTTCTCGGGAGCAGCGGCCACCGGGGAGGGACCCGCGCGGCGGGAGCGGTACTCACTGTGAAGCACACTGCGTCCATAGATCATGTCTGTTCGTTACACCAGAGGCTCCGAGCTCCACTAATTCCATTTAGAGACGGGAAGACGTCCAGTGGTGGGGAGAGGACAGAGTCGAGAGATGTGAAATATGCAAAGCCAGGACCCAATGAAGGGGGGGCGAGAGAGGGGCAGGACGAGAGCCGAGCCCACACAGCAGAAAATCCGGATCCGTGCGTCCTCCGCCCTGGCTCGCTCTCGCCGTCACCGCTGCGAAGCCAGCATCCCCACCATGACGCTGGCATCACACCCGGGCGCCACTCGCCACCATCCGCGCCGCCGGCGGCAGCGCCCTCCTCCTTTGCATCATCGCCACCGCCGCAGCTGTCTGGAGGGCACGGGCGGTGGGCGCAGGCGGAGAGCCCGAAGCGCCCGGAGCCGGGGGCCGGGGACCGACGGCAGCGAAGGTGGTGGCGGCGGCGGCGGCGGCGGCGGCGGTGGAGGGGGCGCTCAGTCCCCCGTCTCATCCACCACGAGCAGCAGGTTGGGGCAGCCTCGCCCGCCGGGAGGACGACCGGCAGCCCTCCTCTGTCCAGCCCTTGGGGATCTTCCGCTGAGGCATTGGAGGCAGGAGGAAAGGGTCTGTCATCGGCTCGCCGGCTGCGCACCAGCTCTGTGATCTTGCGGGAGGAGAGAGTGGTGGGCGTCAGGGAGGGGGGCTGGAGGGTGGCGGAGGGGCCCGGGGGTGTCAGGGGGCGGGGAAGGGAGGGCGGGGAAGGAGCAGGAAGATGGCAGAGTTACCAAGTGGGAGCGTTAGTCATCGCCGTGGGCAGCGCGACCCTCCAGGCAGCCCCGGGCCGGGGTGAAACGGAGCAGCTCGGCTGGCGCCCCCCGGGCTGGTGCATGGCGGAATGGGGCGGCGGCAAGGACAGCACACCCTCAGGGATCCTTGGGGGAGGGAAGAGGGGGGCGGGGAGGAGGACCAGACTGGGATCCGTCACTCGCCACCCGGGCCAAGGGGGCCAGCAGGCAGCCAGCAAATCCCAGCTGCATCCTAGCGCCGGATAAAAGGCGAGCGAGGGGGAGGGGCCGCCAGGTGAAAATCCCCTTTGGGGGTTCATTTTTCACTTTTTAAGGGTCGGAAGTTGCAGTCGCTCTCTCTCCCGCCCCTTACATTCCTCGGGGGTGACGGCTTTGACCCGGACTCGGGTCTTGGGCCGGGAAAGCTGGCGGGGCGCTCGGCCGCCACGTTGGCCGGAAAAGTTTCCCGGTTTATCTCCTGGCTGGGTGCGGAGGTCGCCCGCACCAAACTGTTCATGCAAAGACTCGGGCTTCTCTCTATCTGCCTCCACCGTCCCCAGGAATTGAACACCCCCAAGGCACACACAGATTACCTCCTACCCACCCAACAGGGACCCGCTCTGGCGCAGGGAGTGAAACTCGGGTTGGGGGGCTGGGGGGGGGGGGGGAGAGGAGTTGCCTGGGAGACAGCCCGGAAAAGCCCCGGCTCCTAAAATGCAAACAAATGAATAGGAAAGAGCTGTAAACAGGGTGGCCACAGAGGACGGAGTCGCGGGAGTGTTCGGGCGTGCGGGGGCGGGGGGAGGGGGTCCCTCCGGGCTCAGCCGCCCGGCTCCCCCACCCGGCTCCCGCTCGCCTCCCTGCAGCTGCGGGCTGAGCAGCGCACACCCGCTGGCTGCCGGACCGGGCCACGCACAGGCCCACGAACCCGGCACCCAGGGGTGCTCAGCCCCAGACCACGCGCCTCCGGCTCAGCCTCCGGATCAAGCCAGGATGGGGATGGTGGCGATGAGGGGATGGGACAGAAAGAACCAAGGTGGGAAGTGGAGAGATGGGGTCACCTCCAAAGCCACAGGAGAGAGGAAGGGGCCGCTAGAGGGGCCCGGAGGCCACTCAGAGCTAGGCCCGCAGCTCAGGCACCTGCTGCTGCTGCTGCGGAGGTGGTGGGCCACCCACAAAAACGCGCGCAGATGTGCTGGGTGCTCGCCGCTGCCCAGCCCTCACTTCCCCTCAGCGACGCTTTTGGAGAGGGTGTCGAAGGATAAAGAGGTGAACCCCAAGTCTAAGGGGATCCACGCGCCCCAGAAGCAACCTCCCAGGCTCCTTCTACCAAGATTTCGATTCCTTGATTCCAGGCATCTTCTGCAAGTCCTTGAAGGCGCAGAAAAGTCAGCAAGTGGTGTGTGTGCGTGTGTGTGTGTGTGTGTGTGTGTGTGTGTGTGTGTGTGTGTGTGTCCTTCCTTTTAATGACAGGTGGGTAGGCAGGCAGGCAGGATGCAGTGGAGAACTAGAGCGAGAGAACAACAGAGGGGCAGAGAGACTGCGCACCCGCAGAGCCGACTCCCCCCAGAAGCCTGCGCAGGCGAGAGGAGCTCCAGGCTCCAGAAAAGAGCTTCCTGCGCTGATGGATGGGGCGCGACCCGGAGGAGCGTCTCAGAACCCGCGCGAGTGTGTCTGCCCACGGGCAGAAGGCCCCTCGGATTCCTGTGACCCACGTGTGACTGTCCTGCCAGTTCGGGGATTGAGAGGCCGGGGGCAGAGGAGTTGAGGAATAAATGCCCCAACTGCACAGAAGCAGAAACGCCAAAGAGTGGTGGTACTGCTGGGGAGATGGCAAAGGATGCTGGTCACCAATGGGGGAGGGAGGAGAGTCTGAAAAAAAAATGGCCAACGATGGGAAATGATGGTGTAATGTTGAAATCTTTAGGATTGGTTGGTAATTTCCTTTTTCACATCCTGAAATACATCTTTATAAAAAACGATAACATCTTTCAATGAAACAGTGATGAAGTTGAAAATTATCTTCAGGAAAATTACTGCATTCCTCAAGTGCAGTTTGAAGATAGGATGGCAATTTGGTCTTTGCTAAATCCATCCACTCAAGTATGTCTAACCTCTTCCTCCTTTTTGTCCAGGTCAGTTTCCCATGACACATATTTTGTTACCTGGCCTTGTACGTGGCAGGCTTCTGAAATTTTGCTAGACAAGTGGTCCTTGAATGGGGATGGAGAGGGGACCGGGAAACTCAGGAAGGAAATCCCAGGGAGAAGATGAAGGGGCATGGGGTTCACACCTTTTGTTCATGCCCTCATTCCTCCCATAATCCAGTGGTCAGTATGTCTGTGACTGAAATTAAACTCTCATACATACTGTGTCTTTGATTTTTGAACCCAGTGGTTTCCTGTGCGGTGCCTGGGGCTATGGGATTGAACATTTGCTCAAAGCTCAGGGCTGAGGTTATGACTGTGCAGTCCTGGATCCCGTGGTCTGTGGCAGAGGAACGCTCAGGTACTGTGTCCCCTCACCAAGGGACCAAGACAGGTAGCTACTGAGGCTCTACACAGCTTCCCTAATCCTACCAGGCTATGGTGGTAGATTTTCCTCAAAAAATCCATTTGTTTTCCTACACAGACACACACACATACTTTCAACCATCCACCACATCCTACTAGCTTGGCAAACTGCCTTCTTCACACTTTGAGGCTCTGACGCACCGCTTGCTGAGTAATGCTACCTCCCCAATGGGGGCCCACACGTGTGTGTTTTTTCTTTCTTTCTGAGAAAAAATCAACATATGGGAAAGTTCAGCTTCTGCAAAGGAAGGTTAAGCACACATATGGTCAAATATCAGGATGTGATATTTTGCATGGGAGAGCATATAAACTGATAGCCTTAATAAGCCCAATAGACCATCTAGAAGAAAGTGCTTTATCAGGGTTCTCCAAGGCCAGCACCGAAACAGACACTACTTACACAAGTTACAGTAGAGCTGACACTTCTTAAACACAGTGAAAGGGCCATTGGTTTCCCTTAAGCTTGCACCTCATAAGGATGAATGGTAAGAAGGATTTCCAAAACCTTAAAAAGAATTGGTGCAGGAAACTGCTCTTCTGATGCAAGGGCAGGTAGTATTTGTCTACACACTCATAGTTTCCTCAAGAAAATAATCCAGTTCCCGGTCTCCTGAGACTCTTATTAATTGGTCTGCAGCATTGGCCTCTTCTCCCAGGTTACTTCTGTGTGGCTATACGAGGTAATGTTACACACACACACACACACACACACACACACACACAAATCTGAAGGAAAATAATGCTTCTGACACATTCTATATCACATTAGTTCCTTGAAAAATTCTAAATATGTTTTCATTTATTTACCTAATTTTGAGATGTAAAGTTTTGTTTTGTATTTTATGAACTCAACAATATACAAGTCATAACAGTTCATCCAATATATCATTTGTTGGCAAACACTGGAATGATTTTAAAAATGATCTGCAATTCTGTAGTAGGCCACCGGTTTTAAGTAACATTTGGGTGGCCATTTATTTCCAGTCCACAGTCTGTGAATGCATCACAACAGAGTAGAAAGTCTTCATCAAATAGAAGAGTTAAAATCTTTGAAACCTTACATTCAAACCAGACAGGATTGCTTATGAACATGACTGCAGAAATAACACCCGGTTTTCTGAGAAGTATGAACATGCTATTGTATTGTTAGATAGCCTTGAGAATATTAGCCTCTTGTGGGCAAGAACTATCATAGCACTAGTCTCTTCTACCATTTTCCACCAGGACATGCAGAGCCATAGTTACTGTCTGTGCTGCTTCATATTAAATGACATTTGTGCTCCAGGAACTACGAATTCTTTTCTCTGTTTGGAGAAATGCCAGGGGAATGCAACTAATTTTCTTATCCACTGATCTCTGCTAAAATTTTAGAAAGACTTTATTTTCCTTCTGACTAATATTTAACTGACAGTGGTTTATAAAAATAACATCAATATGTTTTTATAACCACCAGCCTAAGTAATAGCTAGCACTCGGTAAATAGGCATGAAGGAACATTTATAAAGATATACCCTGAGACAGAAAGGGGATTGCTCTGTGAAGGGGCTGCCTTTGGACTGACTATCTGGGGAGAAAACAAGTTTCCATCCCTAGTTGAAAAATGGATTTAACCATATTTGAAAAATATAAGTGAAGCTGAAGAATGAATCTATATATTCTATTTCAAAACATCCATTAATTGACTCAAACAAAAACTTTACTTAAAATTGCTAAATCCAGCCGAAACCGGTTTGGCTCAGTGGATAGAGCGTCAGCCTGCGGACTGAAAGGTCCCGGGTTCGATTCCGGTCAAGGGCATGTACCTGGGTTGCGGGCACATCCCCAGTGGGAGATGTGCAGGAGGCAGCTGGTCGATGTTTCTCTCTCATCGATGTTTCTAACTCTCTATCTCTCTCCCTTCCTCTC